TTTCTATTATTCAATATGATATGCATGGAACCAAACAGCAAGTTTACGAAATCGTAAAACAAATATCCCGAAGTAGAACTGGAAAGGGAAACGGAAGCGCTTCAGTGTTGTTGAACAAAGCCCGGATCAATCGACAATTGTCATTGTTTGAACAACATGAGAAAAACAAAAAAAAAAAAAACCAAAACAAAACAAAGCACTGACATGAACATTTTGGACATGAAAAACATCAAGCGGTAATATCTTAAACGAAAAATGTAAACAAATAAAAAGGCGAGACTTCATAAATCACGGTGAAAATTTAACAAACTGGCAGCGCATTCACTGTAGAGAGGGTATGGGTATGTATGCATTTCACTGTTAGCCTAATTTGTCCGATCTTTTGGTACATTAGTAAACCTGGCTTCAATTGGATATCGACATAAATGGTCAGTATTCGAACCTTCACCAAATCATTGACGTAATGGTCATGTTCCAAGCTTAACTTATATATCCATTATATCTAATATGTGCGTGGATGTGAGTGTGACATCGGACAACAGCAATGATTGGTTTTGTCTTTAGAAAAAATCTAGGAAAAAAAAATGAAGATCCAAATTCAAGCTTATAATTAATGTATGATGGTAGCATCGCTTGAGTAACATTAGTACAAGTGTGATAGTACTGCAGCAACTGTCATACTAAATTAGTGTACTCAACTGAAACCAGGTTAATACGAAAATGACACATACAAAATTCGAATAGTTGTTATCAGTGAGATGATAATACAGAATTTATCTGAATCTTACGGCACAACAACCAAAACATTTTCAGAAAAGCAGGATGGAAAATTCCTTTTTTTTCTGTTTGTGTATGATTTTGATAACAGCAGCAGCAGCACTAGTATCAAGGAAATAATTTTATCAATACTTGGAATAATAATGTAGGATAGACCATAAATTGAGGCCTAAAACTGTCGACTTCTAGAAAAGATGCTGACAAGCATATATATAAAACAATTAAATACTGTATATGAAAAAGAAAAAAAAACCGAAAAGAAAACAAATAAGCAGATAAAAATGATAACATTGTAATTTTTCATTCTTTTTACCCAAAAAAAAGTGAAAATTTTTTTGTTCCAGCAGTACTGTTATTGACACATGTGAAGGAAAAGTAAGCAACAACAATACAAAACAATAGCGCTCATTTTAAACGGTAAAAAAGAAAATGGACGGTATAACATTCGATCCATAAAACTTGCAAACAAATAAACAACGAGTAGTACAACAAGAAAAAAAATCCAATTTCTTGAGCGTTTTTTTCCTTTTTTAAATATTCTAAAGCAAATTACAGGAGAGGAAAATGGGAGGCCTCTGCCTAAACCTTATTTTTTAAAAAGAAAAAACAATTAAATCTTATTGTAAACAATTTTAGTACAATTTCTAAAGAAAACTCGTCAATTTCTTTGAAAAAATTCACAAGAAGCCTCTTCATTTTGTGTACAAACAATACGAAAAAGAATAGCTTATATTGGAAAAGAACATCTCAAACTATAAAACGAATAAAACAGCCGCCGATCCCATATACCTTTAAAATAATGGAAATGTTCAAGGAAATTCAAAGGGGAAATGAAGCGGGGCAATGAATAGGATGAAAGAATTTCATAGTACTGGCAACAAATGCCATCATTTAAAGCAAAAGAAAAGAAAAACAAGTTCATAGCAATCATAATTGTATAAAGGGTACCACTGTACAGTTCACCGTCTCGGGGTAAATGGCATTTCACAGAGTAGAGTGAAAGAGATGAGAAGGTAATTTGACTAAATTTTATTCTTTGATAGTATAGTTACCTAAATCAAAAATTGGAAAAAAGGAACTAAATTGTAACGATGAAGCCGGGAGAGAAAACGATGGAATGTTAAGGTGATCAAACAAATCCACTTTTACAAATGTACCACACTACACCCTATTTAATATTCCTCAGCATGAAGTAAAACGGGAAATTCTCGGAAAAATTTGATGCAAAAATTCGAAAACATTTCCAGTCTCAAATTCTTGGTTTGCAAAATTATAGAGAAATTCAAGGATTCTGTCTGATTTCATTTTCGGGAGAATAAATTAAGTGTGAACTTCAAATTGGTACAACAAGAGATCAAGTGTTGCACAAAAAATTGGGAGCACAAATCAGTAGTTCCCGTAAAGGTGACATGAAGAATAAGAAAACAATTTTCGTCACGTAAAGAAACCCGCGACTCTGTGTTAACACAACACACACACACACGCATACACACACACACACACACACATACCCACACATACACACACACATACACACACATGCACATAGACAC